ATTAATCGTGAGAGAATGGTTGTAAAAAATGTTGAATATATTAAAAAAAACTTCAAGACAATGAAGCAAAGATGTCTATTTAGGGATGCAAAAATAAAGGCCTCGTTTTAAGATGACAACATATTCAACTTTTTATCTTAAACGTTCTTGGTTGACGTAAACTTATATTGTTTGAGGAAATGCAGATTTTTCGGAAATTGCACGCTGTCCCGAAATTTACAAAGTGCATCATGAAAAGGATTACATGTGAGCGCATGTCCTTAAATGAATCAGGGTCCAGGCCCCTGGATCACGAAACCGAATTAGACTTTTAGAAGTCAAAATTTAATTCATTTGTAAAATGTTTTTAATTTACCGAAAATCTAAACTTGCGGATGAGAGAAGTTTGTTGATGTAATGATGAGTAGCATTTTTATTTTGATCTAATTGACTTCGATATCATTTCAGCAAAATATACATACATGTATTTAGACTTAAATTTATATGTTTCGTCTTTTAAATGATTGTAAAATTGAATTTTTTTCTGAATCTTGATTTTCTGCTTCGGTTAACATTATTTCATGACAAGAAGGGAAGTTGTACATTTTGTATTGGCTATAATCATTTGAGGAAGAATTGCTCCAAAATCCATTAACGGTAATGTAAGAGTTCAATGTACAAAAATATTAATCAGCGCAGGGGGCTAAATCAATGCTTACAACTATCCTCAGTGTACATTTTTTATTTCTGAGTATAACATTAGAATTTAACGATAAATCTTGATATATATATTTATCAAATAAAAATTGGAAAGAGTGAGTTTGATGACGATGAATCGTCATCACGAAAGTCAGATAATCAGAGGAACTATTGTCCAAAATGTCAAAAATAAAGGCCAGACTTTAATGATTTTCTTCTCTAAATATCACCAATCCTCATATTTCCACAGAAGACTGCTTAAAAAAAAAACGAAATTGGAGTTTTACGGATGAACTATATTCATAATATAACACAGCATCCGCTGCTGATAGGAGATTTCTTTTATCTTACATCTCAATGTCCACTTCATTTGAGAAATAAGGGCAAAAGCCATGGATTTTTACTGAAAAACTCTCCTTTAAAGTAAACTTTAAAATTGGAATGACAACAATTTTCTACTATCATATGATTTCAAATAATTAGCCCAAAACAAGAACTAGCAAAATTATGCTGTTTCTGCTGCTATTATTCTACATTCCGTGTGAAGACGAATAATGACCTCTGTAGTATAACGACTTGGAGTCATTTTTCGAAGTCGACTCCCGGTCATTTTTCCACGTCATTTGTATCGACCATAGAATTTGCGAAATATTGACTTTGATCGAGACCGTTTATATCCTCGTATTATCAACGTATTTGTCAATAGCTTGTCTCGTTTTAGAATTGCTTGTTTGTTGTTTTCTCTTGCGGGAAACATAAACTCCATATGCAGGTGATAATGGTATATTGCCACATAAACAAGGGGAATTGACGATAGAAATGTTGAAGCCATCATGTTTATCAAAGTTTTGTTGTTAGTTTGCCATTAGTGTTATTCTCTAGTAAAATATCCAAATAGGTACAAAAGATCACACAATGTAATGGTGATATATTACATTTTAACATTGCTTGTTCGTTCAGTGTTTGCCAGGAAAACGCAAGAGAATTAAACTTTGAGACCCATCATATCGTTTAAACTTTGTTTCACTCTGTTGTTTCAACGGGGATCAATTTCTTATAGGTTGCACATGTAGAAAACTGACCCCTAGGTTTCTTTTTCTATCAAGAAAACCCATTTTTCTACGACTGGGGGGGAATCATCATTCAAAGTCGAAAAATGACTCCCAGTCATTTTTCCATGGGGGTCAATATTTGTCTTTACACCTGATCTAACATTTATTTAGAAAGACAAGGTATCACGGTCAGCAAGTTCAAGGTATCACACCGGTAATTGACCAATCAAAATGAACTTAGTCAATTGTAGTTCCATACATAATAAAGAAATATTTTTTTTATTGTGAGAAATTTTTTAATTTCCCTTATTCTATTTTTACATTTTTGGTATCTGTGCTTAGGATATTTTATGTACTTTGTAAAATATTAAAGGTTTCTGACAGGAACTATTTCTTTTGGGGCATAGGAGGCCACTTCCTGGGGTGCACACAGGATGTTTATAAACACATTGAATACACGTGGTTTTGAGGGTATTCCTGTTTGCGGATGGAAAAAATCAGAAAATGCCGTGTAGGTACCCTATTTTTTGGTGTCAGCTGATGTGACTGGTAACGTTTAACACTTCCTGCTAAATATTTTTTCAAGAATTCGAATACCTGATTTTTAATGATTTTTTATTCTATATAGAATTACATAGGGAAAACAATTACCGGTGTGATACCTTGAAGATGATTGTGTAAAATCATCTACGCCCATATTAAAGGCAGTTTTAATTTTATAAAGGCATATTTCAACAAAATATGTCATTTTATGAACTTTCTGTGTGAAAGCACATATTTTTAAATTTAGGAGCAGGGTTGACATTAATTTATACAGATTTCTATGTAAAATACAAATAATATGTCATGTTTTACCCTCAAAACTCCAAATTATGACTTTCAAAGTAGGATTATGCATCTGACATGTAGAAAGAAGTTAGAAAATGTGGTTTTTTAAATTTTAGATGACTTTAAACTCTGCACCACCTGACCGCAGTCAATTATAGTGTCTACAGACTTTGCCGTAAAAGCACTTTAGGCTGATTTTTTCAAGAAAAGACTAATTCTGGGTTTGCGAATGAGTTTTCAACAAAAGCGACAACTGCGATAAAATGTGAAGAAGTAAAACATGTTTTTAAAAAGTGTTAAATTTTACAGAGACTGGGTTTACTTTCATTTTATTCACCTTAAGTGATTCATTTATTACTGGAGTGGAGGAATAGAAATAATGAAATGAGTTAAATTTGTCTAATAAAGTAATGCACGAATAAAATTTATTAAGAATTTTTCAAAAATAAGAAGCTTATGACCAAAAATGCATAAATACTGTCAGGGCATGAGAGTGAATACTTATTCTGAGTCCCAACCATGCATCACACATATAGTACAGAATGTCACTTAGCACCATGGTATGCCTGTTATGGTTCTCTAGACTTTTTCCATGCTTTCGCAGCTGACATTCAAGATTTTTCAGTTTGCCAGAGAATGTTTTTGTCATTTTAACACTTTTATGTAGGTGTTGACCCTCTCTTTTAAATTAAGTCTCAGTCAGGATGCTTATTTTAGCATGATTTGTTAGGCACATTAATGTACTGAAAAATTAATAAATTACAAATTAAAGTGATAAAGAAATTTGACATATTTACACAATCAAAATATCAGAATAACCATAATTCAGCTAATAAAGTGCCCTGTTCTTCTTTTGTCACTTCCTATAAATTTTATCAGCAGTTTTTGTACACCCACTCACCTCCAAGAATCATGGAAGATGGCCTGATATTAGTTTCTTTGTTGCAGTTATTCACATTTAAAAGTGTTAAGACCCATAAAAATGCTTAAGATTTATATTTTTAAATTTAAATGTTGAATTTTTATGTAAATTTGGTGATACAAAAAGCTGTAATCTTGAATTAATCATGCAAATTCATCAAACACCTTTGAAATTCCTGAGTAATTCAATGAAAAGAGGATAATTATGTATGTTCAATTGGAATTTCATGGCTAATTTGTGTCTGCAGAGAAAGCCAGTTACATAAATCACAACAATAAATTACATCTGAATTGTTTTCTCCATTTTCTTATCATCAAAGCAAGTTTAATGGAGTGTCAGAGCTGTCCAGAACCTCCCCAGATGCTGATATCATTTGGACTGCCCTGTGTTACAACACAGCTTTTAGATAAAATTCTGCATAGCAGGTTGTAGACAAGTACCTAGGCTTTATTTGGAACATAAATTGACCAGATGCAGATTTTATTATCAGCCTAATATTTAACAATTTCTGTAAATTTTGTCATTCTTAGGAGGGTAAAATGCAATTTTGTTATGTAATAATTGCATAATGGTCTCAGACTTGTGAATTATTTTTTGTTTGTTGTGAAGAACAGTGCATATACTCTCCACGGATACAAAATTGGTTGCCAGGCTTAGTCTATTAAGGATGAAATTCTGCTTCAAAATATGCACAAAAAACTTCTGTCAGAGTGCTCAGTGTGTATTCTTGACTGCTCTGGAGTAAGGGAGATAAATGCATCATATCTCCAGCAATAATGGGAATTAGATCCTCAAATTTCAGGATGTTAGTGACAGTTATTTAAGAAATCTCAGGTGCAAAAATGAAAAAAATCTGACAACTTCAAAGGTCCTTCAACACATGCTAATTTTAAACCTTACATTGATCATTCCACATACATACATGTACTTCATAGATGCAAACATTATTATATAAAACATACAACACTTGTATATTTTGGCATACATAGGGGTAGACTCAGATTATCGTAAATTTTTCAAGTAGAAGTTCTATCCTAAAACCAGCAGAACAAGTCGCAAGAGCTCTTTAATATTAACATACGTCCTAAACGTACGAAGTTACGTCCGGTGAAGCTTTACGCGTGAGCGAACACCCTTTGATGATTGAGAGAATATTACTAACTAAATAATACCGTTCCTTATATTTCCTTAAAAAAATAAGCTGATAATGAGGTCACTAAGGTTTTACGGATGCACAAAGTACCAATATAATATCTCATCGCCTTTATCTGACTTCTAAATGACCCCTTCATTTTAGAAATGAGAGAAAAGCTGTGTCATTTTTATCGGAAAATTAACCGAGATTTTCTTTTGGAACTATCAAACAGTAAATCATTTCATAACGTAGAGCTTTAATATCCTTCAATGATGGTTAAAAGTAGCATCGACTAGTAAACAAAATACAGAGTTTAGCAAACCCGGAACTGTTGCTAATCGCAGCAAATAGATATAAAATAGAAAGGCGACTTTCCGTAATCAGGAGATACATAGGGAATCTAGAAATGGAGGGACGTTTGTTGCTGTTCCTGTGTCTAATACAGGCCAGTCTTTTTCCTACCTGTCAGTCAATTACACCCATGGAATATGAGAATAAAGTTGACCAAACATTAAAGCAGGTATGTCATTTTGCACAAATGTGTTCCCTTTCTTTCATATTTCTGTGTTGTTTCTTACAAAAGATTTTTTTCACAGTTTTACGCATTTTAAATTCAAAATGTACTGGCAGATTATCAGCTTAGAATAATATGCTGTAGAAACAGCAATTGCTCTGTACAGTCACAAGCAATTGTGTGCCCCTTTGGAAATATTTTATGGATTCATTCCCCCAAAAATGTTTGTTTTACGCCTTAATTGTTAAATATAACCCAGATGCTTTGTTACAACTATAATTTTTAATTAATTGAAAGGATTCTCTAAGGAACTTTAGGCTAAAGTCTATGGAAAAATTAAAATATAAAAAATGATCGAATTTTGTAATAAAAATGCATTGTAATGAAAGTTTGTATAAGTATATTGTTTTTCTAACTTTCGAATTTCCATGCAATCAAATGTTATCAATAAATATAACAAGACATCAGGGTTTTTTTTTCTCGAATTAGCGCTCATTAATAGAGATTTTGTTGGAAATATGAGCCTTAAGACGTGCTTTCTCGAGGAAAGTCTTATTTTTAGAAAGATTTTAAACAAACGTTATTCTAGCAGACTTTGGGCGTAACGAACAAGTTTTATCTAAGCCATAGGTTGATAATTAAAAAAAATGGATTAATTCTTTCCTTTTCGCTATTACATTGTACATGTAGTGTCAACAAGCTGATTAGTGTATTTAGACAGGGCAAGAAAACGCCTCTTTAAAACGCATATATATATATATATATATATATATATATATATATATATATATATATATATATATATATATATATATATACATATATATATATATATATATAAATTAGAATTCTTACTTTAATTTAATTCTTCTTAATCAAGCTATAGCTATTACATTTCTATGGTCATTTATATCGGTAAAAAAAAATAATATAACACTATCCCTCTGCTTAAGGTCAGACGATACGTTCCTCAAATATCTGTTTTCTATATCTAAGTATTGTATGGAAAATATTCAAAATTATAATTACCTTCTGATTTCTAAACTGGTTTCTAATTGTCTTTAAAAATTGAAACACTGAAAAATGTGTTATTGGCTAATTAAGTTTTTTCCAAAAGGATTTTATAGGAAACAACATCCTCTGGTATCTTGCACAAATGTCTGGTAAGGTATCTCAAGTTTTTGCGAGTAAAGTAGCAATACTTCAGTGATAAAATCTTAGAAAAAATTATATATTATTGAGGAACGTTAATCGTCTGTCCTTAAAGTCCCTGTCAACTCCACATTTTAGATTAAAAGTGTAAATAATGCACTAATTATAATGATTATGAATTCAAACGTCCATAATATTATAGTATTTGATAATTTGAAATCTCTCCCCCATATATTTTTTTAACAAATTCAATAACGCAAAACGTAAATTATAAATAAATATTACAAAAAGCTCTAAAATGTCTACATTTTTTGGCGACAAAATATAATGTTCGCACTCTGTATAAACCATGATCATATAAATACCTCTTACCATAAAAATTACATTAATCAGTTTAAATCATTTATAACTTCTGTATTTAAAGGGATTTCAAAGGATTTGTTGTTTTTTATGCTTCACGAAATTGCCTGATTATATGATGGTATTCTGCTAACTGAACATCATAAAAGATATGAAATAAATATATGTTATTGAAATCGATATTTTTATCTACATATGTAAAGGAATTCTTTTTCTTTATTTTCCACTCCAATTTCCTAGGAATCCAATTTTCATTATCTCGTGGTTGTTATTCTGAGTTAATGTTTACCGTCATGAAATCAATTACAATTTATAATAAAATAGTGCATTTATCTACTTATAAATCCATTTTGTTAAAATGTCATGATGCATGTAACAGGTATAAATTACTCATTAATTAAAGGTCATGTCCTGTGCTTCATGGATCCCTGGATTGACAGTTGCTGTTGTGAAGGATTTCGAAACACTATACACCAGAGGATATGGCGAGACCATGCTCAACTCAAACATTTCTGTCACTGACCAAACTCTTTTTCAAATCGGTTCCGTTTCTAAATCTTTCGCTGCACTACTTCTTGTAAAGCAAATGGAGGAAGCTAAGTAAAGCCCCATTACTTTAATATTAATCTGCAGTTTCCTATGATACCTTAAGAAATTTTATCTGTAATATTTAGATATAAAGCAGAAGTTTCAATTTTGACAAGAAATTCATTTGTTTGTATAATTTTCGAAAAAAAAACCTTGCTTCTTACATTAGACTAATTTTACATACTTTCAAGGCTTTGTTCGGGTTCTGCTAAAATATCACCAATTCATGTTAAAGCATTTATGACAATCAATTAAATTTATTTATGGAAAACATACATTCATATGCACAATTTTAGTCTAGATCTGTCTACTAAAGTCAAAGACATGATGGACGAAGGATTCGTTTTTGTTGATGCTGAACGAACACAAAAGGCCACCGTGGTAGATATTCTAGCTCATAGGATGGGAGTTCCTGACCATACGAATCTTAGACTAGACCAGAGCCTCACTAGAACAAACTTACACCAGTAGGAATTTTGGTTTTTGTTAGATTAAGCAGTGATCTAGAAGATTATAATTTCCACGTCCCTTTTCGAGATCATAACACGAGTTTTATTCCCAAATGTAAATTCTCTGAAATAAACCACACATTTTGATCTACCAACTGCAACTAAAAAATTACATTTCAATTTTGAAACTATTGTATAATTTGGAGGGAAACTGCCATAGTTAAGATATCATTATTACATATAAGATGCATAATACACTGACTGATACAAAGAAACTTGCCTCGTTGTAGAACAAATATTGTAATAAATCAAAAAAATTTTAACTTCGGGGTTGGAGAGGCAAGAAAAGAATTGGCAGCAGTATACTAGCACTTTAGATCTTACTTTTTTCACAAACGTAACATTTTGAAAAATACTGTCCTTTAAAATATTTCTATCCATCAATAAATAGTCCTGCAGTATACATAGTATTAATGCAGGTGCTTAATCAACAAACATCTGATGAAAATGTGTATTCTGTAGACGTTTCATAGAGATGACAGCTGTAAAGACTTTCAGAAAATCATTCCTCTATTCAAACATGATGTATGGATTTGCCACATCCCTTTCTGAGAAAATGTCCAATGGGATCTCTTGGGAAAACCTAGTGACATCAAACATTTTTCAACCTCTTAATATGACATCGTCCACTTTTATAACCACAATAGCAGATCTCTCAAATGCTGCACGTGGGTATGACAAAGGACCAAAGTCTAAACCAAAGGCTTTAGTACCCGTTCCATTAGATTTCAGCAAGTATGTAAATCAGATCTATTTTGTTTATCATATAGAAATTCCTTTCACACAGAGACAAGTCAATGGTCTTATTTTTGTATGATTATGTGTATCACAGAATGCAGAATGAAATTCATCTCATAAGTTTTCTTCTGTCTGTAGAAAATGGGGTCTTTGGGCAGGTTCGGGATCTATAATGTCCAATGCTGTGGACATGGCGCAATACATGAATTTTCACTTAAGTAACAAAGACAAGAACGGCAATCCATTTATGTCTACTGTGTCTTTTGATGCATTACATCAGGAGCATAGAAAATTGTACTCGACCACTGTTAACACCTACTTCGGGAGTAAAGAGGTTCCGACGACTGAAAATGGTTATGGACTTGGTTGGAAACGAGGAACATATAGAGGTATATAAGTACTTTGGGGAGGGGGGGGGGTCTGAGAGCGGGTGGATGGGTAGGAGGGAGATGTTAAACAGTGTATGTTTGGGTTTTAATTTAAAAAACAGATTTTATCGCTTCAAATGTATGTTTTTAAATCTTAATTTGTTTTTTGAAATAAATTTATCTCTGCAATTTTAATACGTTAAGAAGGTTTTAGCATTTTTTTTTCAACGAAGCAACATTTAGCAAGAATATACAGGCACCCAATACAATTGAGCTCAGTTAATGACATATTTTTATGCTACAAAAATGTTTTCATTTTATATGTAAATATCAAGTTTCTTTTTCAAATATTTTATATACAATTTAAAAAAAAGATATTTCAAATATTTTATCTATGTTTTGCTTCTTAAAAAAATGTATTTCCAAACTGGTGTATACATCTTTAATTTTCGGGAAATATGATTTGAAAAAAAAAATACAAGAAGATAACATTCAACAAAAAATGCTGTTATCCGTTTGCATTTCTAAAGGTGTCAATACATTTTTATCTATTGACAGAGAAAGACATTCTCCTTCATTCCGGCAGTACGTTTGGATACAGGTCTTTCATCACACTCTTCCCAAACCAGAATATAGGGGTTTTCACTTCTATGAACGGTGAAGACGACAACTATATGTTGCGTGTATTGTTGCACAATTTCTTGTCTGACGTTGCTCTTGAAGTGACACCTTGGTTGGACGCGTCATCAATATGTGCACAACTAACCAAGCCAAAATACGTGGGTTACTCCAATACAAATAATCCGAGCAGGTTTATTGGGGAGTATGTTGGCACCTACCATAATCCAATATATGGCAATCTTGACGTTACAATGGACCTCAACAACGAACACCTGGTACTAAAATATGGCGTGGCAACTTGGAATCTATGGACAAAGTCGGGAAAGGACAAATTCAAAGCCGAGGGCACAGGGGACATAACATACCTGATTAACATGTATCACATTACGTTCATACCCAACGACTTAGACCAAATCGTGTCGATTAAAATTGAAAGCTTGTGTAAAACATGTGGAGAATATCCACCTGTATTTTTGAAAATTGACGATTAACGTGATTGTTCTTTTTCTAAGACCTTTCTTTAGCTTGAAATGTATGGCTATTCAATGTAGATGTTTGTGTCTAACCTGTGTACGTATCTTTACTTACATATTCTTTTTTGAAGAGTATAACTTATGGGAAAAAATAAATGCCATTGTTACAAAGAACTTTCCTTGATCTTTTCAAATGCCAGAGTAGGTATAAACTAAAAAGGGGTGTTTTCCTATTCATGGATGTATCTTTGACTTTTCGGTTTCCTTTTCACTTTTCCTTGGTAAACAAAACAAGAAAGACAATAAAATTTAACAAATTGCTAAGACAAATGAAAAAAGTAGAAATGAAGAAAGTCCATTTATCAAATTTTCCATGCTTTAAATTAATGGATGAAAATAAAATGCATAAAAAAAATGACATTATATGGATATACATGTACTTCACACATAAGCGCACTCAAAATCATAATTTAAAATTTTAATTTTTACTTGGAAATTTACTCTAAAATATTGTGTTTTGTAAATATTTTTTAATTGTGCAAATTTATAGCCATTCAAAGTTGGAACATATTTGATGAAACACCCTGTACGTAAGAATCCTCCAATTTTTGTGATGATTTTTTTCCTGATCAGTGACATAGCGACTTCTAACCGTCGAAGCTATTGTTTACAAAGTTCTCTCAGGTGAAGACATACACCACAATTGTCGCTGCAATTGCATTGTTCCAGAGCTTCAAATCATTAAAATTCATTTGCGTTTGAATAGTTATCTAGTTACTTTTGATAAACTTCATAATATACTATGACTAACAGAAGGGTCATTAAACTTATGATAAGTTATCATTAGTTATTGGGTACAACGTATTTCGATTAGGTGTCACTATACACACACACGCGCACACACAGAGCGGGAGAGAGAGAGAAATTTTTGGTTGGCGTATTTTTATTACATTTAAATTTATTGACTTAAAATAAAGCGGAAGCAGGAGATACAAATGTATGTAGTTTGCGATGAAAGTATTTAAATTATCGGAATGTCTCTTAACTTACTTTTGATTCGATGTAGCTTACATGGACTTTTTTCTGTCACAACGTATTTTTTTTTAAATACCCATAACATAAAAAAGGCGTAAATAAAATCTGTCTTCTTTACAAAGTAACTAGAAAAAAATTGTATGTACAGATACGCAGATATAAATATATCAAAATAAGCAAGATTTTCCTTTCAATCAGAGATTTATTCAATAACTATGGTAGAAATAAATGGATTTAAAGCAGTCATGAGAATCCCCTGAATTCTCATTACTTCATGAACTCATTATCTCACTTTTTACTCGGAAATCTTAAAAAAGGCGAGGTAAAAAATATTGTTATGAGCATTTCAAATGATTATGTTTCTTTTTTCATTATAAAATTCAATATCTATGGGATTTTTCTCTACAATTTAAAAAAAATTATAACTTAAATCCAGAAAATGCAGGCCACTGTCCTCCATGAAGGTTTTGCACCGTCATTTTGTACGCAACAATCCATATCCTGTCTCCGGGCACCAATTCAACAGTTGTTGATTGAGTGCACGTCGTGTACGTGTCTGGAAACGCAGCACAGGAGCTGTATGCAATGTAACCTGATGACATGTTTTTCACAATTGCTGTATTTAGTCGTTTATTCGGCGAAGTCAGGGTACTCCAGGTGAAAAAGTAAACACCTGCATCCGGTGCAGTGAAAATTCCTGTGGAGCTGTTATAATTGTCTCCTGCGTTTGTTCTTATAACGTTGTAGATGACCGTATCATCCTGTTCGTATTGGTTGTTTCCATCCAACAGAGCGGTAAAAGCAACCGGTGACAACTGAGCTCCACCTTTATAAGGGGTAAATGAAATTAATAATAATTTTATGCTGTGCGGCATATTACTATAGTAATTGTATACTGATGTGAAACTCAGACAAAACTGTATATACAGATAGTAATACACATGTGAGAGTTTCAAAATAACTATTGATTAAGGCTAATTATGTTGTCAAGATTAAAGTATTCATCGTCGAACACATCTTACTATACCTCAGCCTGTTTTTAATGAGGCATATTTCTTTTTGAAAATCCATAAAATAAAAGACGAAATGAAAATATCGGTCTCTTGAATGTTGTGTCTTTCTACATCCTACGTGTAATACTGTTGAGGGGTTAGTTTAAGCTAACTCTTTAAAAGATGTAATTTAAAGGAAAAAACTGAAGACGCGTGCAATTATGAAAAAAAATCTGCCAGTACAAATTTTAGTAAGACTGTGGAAATAGCATCGGACAAACCCATTTTTCAGTTTTCAAATTGTTTGTTTTATGTTTTCTTGATGAAGTTTTATTCATATAGCTCACCTGAGTTGAAAGCACAAGTGAGCTTTTCTGATCACCCGTTGTCCGTCGTCCATCCGTCCGTCTGTAAACTTTTCACATTTTCAACTTCTCAAGAACCACCAGGTCAATTTTAACCAAAGTTGGTACAAAGCATCATTGGGTGAAGGGGAGTTTAAAATGTTAAAATGAAGGGCCAAGCCCCCTTCCAAGGGAGATAATCAAGAAAAGACAAAATAGGGTGGTGTTATTAAAAAAATCTTCTCAAGAACCACTGGGCCAAAAAAGCTGAAACTTACGTGAAGGCCTCCTGAGGTAGTGTAGATTCTAAATTGTTCAAATCATGACACCCCAGGGTAGGGTGGGGCCACAATAGGGAATCAAAGTTTTACATTGAAATATATAGAAAAAATCTTTAAAAATCTTCTCAAGAACCACTCGGCCAGAAAAGCTGAAACTTATATGGAAGCTTTCTGAGGTAGTTTAAATTTTAAATTGTTCAAATCATAGCCCCCCCCCCCGAGGGGTAGGGTGGGGCAACAATAGGGAATCAAAGTTTTACATTGAAATATGTAGGAAAAATCTTTTAAAATCTTCTTCTGAAGAACTACTGGGATAAGAAAACTGAAACTTATGTGGAAGCCTCCTGAAGTAGTGTAGATTCATAATTGTTAAAATTATGACCCCCTGGGGTAGGATGGGGCCACAATAAGTATTACAAGGGGGAATATGGTGAAGAACAGCAGGGCCAAAGTTACTCAGGTGAGCGTTGTGGCCCATTGTATTTTGAATTGAAAATACAGTTCAAAGAGGTTTTAATTGTATTTTGCCACGGGAAATTTGTATTGGGTATGAAAAGAGAAAGAACAATGTAAGGTATCCTTATTTATCTCCGTTTGAATCATCCACTATGTGAGCCATTAAAATTCACATTTTCTGATTTCAAACCTATTGAGTATACTCACCACTTACAGCACAGTTCAAGACAATGAAAAGTGTGGAAAACAACAGCAAATTTCCCAGCATCTAATGAAAATATTAAAAAAAATATTTATTATCAACATTCGTAGTTCTAAGAGAGCGTCTTTGGTGCACTGCTTTTAACATGTTTAACTGATGTTATAATTGGCATGTTATTCCTAGCAAAATTAAGTGCATCCTCGCAAACCATGGCCAAAAAATATAAATATAATCATACGAGGGTCCTTCAATATGGTGATTTTCTTGTACATAAAAACGCTTCTGTAAATAAGTATAAAGGTGCAAGGGAAATTTTGAAGAAAGGAACGTGTAAAGAGCTTAGCTCTCCCCAGTATTCGCTTGAATCAATCATTGAAACGTTTTTTATTAAATAACTCAAAAAAAAAAAAAAAAAAAATCCAAAAAGGAGTATGCTGAGGTGTACTGGTCAAAGGTTCAAAGACTTCTTAGACGTGTTAAGGTCCACAGAGAGATTAAAAACATAAAAGAAACTGCTTTTTGTGTGTGTTTTATTTTTTTTTTTAATTTTTGATGACCTTTTGCATTATTTATTGAACGCCCCTCGTATTCGGACTCCGGACTGGGTTTGATGAGATGGATTAAGTGTTACTTACATAAAGTTTTATAATCAGATTCCTGTATATTACAGGAGGAACAAATTACCTGTAGATTGCAAGAATTTACAACTCATTACCGCTACTTTTAACCTCGATTTCATCCACTGTGTAACTTGGAGACCGGTCTTTCGGATGAGACCGTATAAGCCGAGGTCATATATGTCACACTAGGTGCTTGCACAAAAATCTCAAATGCAATAAGTACAGTACATGTCTAAATTTGCATCCCACCACCGACAAGGTTTGACGTCTCAATGTGAATGAAAATTTTCGAACGGAATTTAACAAATAAAAAAGAATTCCGATTTCAGATGTTGTATTACCGCTACATTTTATCAGTCAGAAGCTTTGCAGTTACAACTCAACAAACCTGCCTGGATGACACAGAACATTTACTCACCATGTAGTCGAAACACAGTATACGATGAAGTTTAATTCAATATAATTCATTCAGTCGTTATATTCGAAGTATATTTCATTTAGCCTATAGTCGAGGTACAAATATATTATTATAAATTCTGTTGAGCGACACATTTCCATTGAGAAGTTTGTAAAAATTTGTCCAAAAAAAAGACTTTCTACTTTATAACGTTATACGCTTGATGTCGGTGACGTTTAACGTTACGCTTATTAAGAGCGCTTCGAGAATGACCGGTGTTCTTTGTACTTGAAATATGCGTAGAAAATACAGACTGCTTGTAATTAAGCAAATGAACAAAAAAGGAGCTTTTGATTTATGTATGATAAAGATTGTCAATTACTCAAATCAGTCTTAAACGCATTTTCGTACATTACGTTGATGCAAAACGAATCACGCGTCAAAAACGTGCACTGGACAAATAAGTTGAACCTCTTAAATGTTGCATAAAATATTAATTTGCAGAGTAAATTTATCAATCAGACATTTATTTTGAGCGTTTGAATTAGCACATTATAAGCATATAATGAATTTTGTAATCAATGAAAAAAAAATAGAATTTAATCGCTCGAAAAATAGTAAGATATTATCCTTGCACGTCAATTTAGACTCTGGACATTTTTGTTGAACTTGTAATTCATTTATTCGCTAAAAGCATACAGTTTGATGCCAATCTTACTGAAACATTTGAAATCTATAAGAAAAGCATATTATTTTGAAGCAAGTTATTTAAAGTTTCTTGTAATTAAGTAAATCAAATGTTAATATTCATATGCACGTTTTGAAATGTTTGCTATACAGATTCTCTTTCCGTAAAAATCATCACTTTCTTTTTCTTGCCCACACTGAATGCAAAACCTTTAACGACTTCCATAAACAAGATAGATGGCTCTTGTTTTGTGAGAAAAATGAGAACTGTAGAATCACTTTTGAACGCACCCCATATTCCAAAGTCGTTAACAATTCGTGTTGTTACATACCTTTCACAGAAGTGGCTTCTTCAAGAAAAATGCAGGCCAGAAAAACTTAAATGCGTTATCTCAAATAATATTTCCTTTTTAACCTTTTTGCCTCTACCTATATAAAATCTTGTATCAAAATCTTTATTTGTAGTGATTTAATTTTTACTGAAGGCAAATACATGTATGTAACATCTGCCATGGCTGTTCTTAAATGATTTGATTGGTTATTTATCTGTTATCGTGCCGATGATTGTGTCATTACCAGGCAATTTTTCATAAATTTACCTTAAAAAATCAATTTTGGATTAAGGAAACGAGAACATTTGTTTCAAATCTGTGAATACATCAATAATTATGCATTGAAAAACATTCCGTTTTATAAATATTGGCGTAATGTTGGCCTAAGGGTTCTCTTAATTAACATAATTTATTGTCTAGTCACGGTGCACAGAGGATAAGTACAGCGGCTACATTGTTCAAGGATGTGTTTATCATCAGCAATCATTTGAAATTCAGTTGAACTTCGGTATTCCGAACACCGATATCTCGAATACCAAGGATATGTCAAAGTGATTTGTAAGTCCCAACCATTTTTTCTTTATGCATTTAACCCTCGAAATCTCGAATGCTTGGATATCTCGAAGTTTTACCTTAGTTCCATCGAGTTTGATATAACGAAGTTTGACTGTATTTGATTTCGAATGCTTTGTCCAATCTTTTTATTTTTAATACCATATGCATGAAGATTATTCATTGTTTGTTTGAACATTTTACTTAATCGTTCAAATTAGTCACATAGGTGACCATTTGCCATCAGTAGGTATCCTTCTTGCCCAAGACTATTTGCCAATCCCATTTAAAAAAAAAAAATCCTTTCTGGGCTACGAAAAATTCATCAACATGTATTTTCCATCAGATTATTAAGTCAGTCCTATGGGAACTAATTAATAAACAAATAATTGAAACAAAACAGGATCACTTAAAAAAATGATTGCCACAAACAAGTAGTTGCATTTTTTTTTTAATAATTCTAAACCGGAAACTGAATTGCATGCACTGGAATTAAAGCATAGAATACTAGCAGAAAAAAGGAAGGGTTTGCAAATCCAATGAATATCGTTGAATTTTAACTCTCGGATTCATCAACTTGGGTCTCTTTACATATTTACCATTTTTATACATGTATTCCGGATGTGATAAAAGTCCGCACTAGAGATCTAGCGATAGAGTACTTGACGTCAGAAGCAAGCAAAGTGACCAATTAGCCGAAATACAAGAGCCATAAGTTTATACATATATTTCTGTTTTATTAAACAAAGAGGACAGGTGCCTGTATTGCTTGCAGCAGGAATTCTGGCTTAATATGTTCCAGTATGTATTTATACCTAGTAATAGCGAACTGAAAATATAAGGAGTACTAGTATTTAAATTAAATCATTGCTTATATGCTATTTTAATTATCATCATAAATTCGTGAACCTAAAAAAAACGATATTTATATTAAAAAAAAAAAAACAAAAAAACATGTACATGTAGTTAAAGTAACTAATGAGGTTTATTGAAGTATTTCTAATTTCTTGTACAAAAATTTTTACAAAATGAAACACCAAAAAGATGGTTTTATTTTCTTCAAAAGCATATGAAATAAGGTATATGACATAAAGAAAAATGGCTGGAAATAGAATATATCTACAAGAGAGAATTTATATGTACTGTTTCTAAACTGATGGACTTTAGAAAACGCAATGCTTGATAATTTTTGTATTGTAGATTTATGCATAGATTTAATAAACAAATAATTTTTGGTATATAATCTACCATGTTAATTGTCCAATGTTCTTTGATTTTTAACATCATTTTATGCACAAAAAGGTTACAATTGAAAAGAATGTCAAAGAGGGGTGCGTCAAAAATGTGGTTTTGGTCCTACTTCCGGGTATGGCCTCCATTTGGATTTGTGACGGCGCGAAGACGACGTGACATTGACTGGCAGACACTTCGAATAGTCTTTTGAGGAATATTCTGCAACTCTTCCAACAAGGCTCTCCCAAGTTCTTTGCGGATACTGAGGCTGAGGGCTGTGTACACGTCTCCCCAGCTTGTCCCACAAATGCTCGATCGGATTTAAGTCTGGGGACATAGCGGGCCAATCAAGGACGTTAATGTTGTTCGTTTGAAGGAAATTTTGTGTCAACCTTGCCGTATGCACTTGCGCATTGTCCTGTTGAAAAATTAACCTGTTGCCTTGTCTACACTGCAGTAATAGTGCTAAAACAGGCTGAAGAATTTCGTCCACGTACCTCTTGGAAGTGAGGGTTCCGTTCAAAATGACCAGTTGTGAGGGAAAATGGTAGTTAATCGCACCCCAGACCATGACGCTATCCTCTCCAAATCTGTCAGGTTCAAGAACCCAGTTGTCTACAAAATTCGACATCTGCCGTCTGTATTGCTAACATTAAATCTAAATTCATCGGAAAGACAACCTGTGTCCAATTCTGGCGTTGATTCAGATTTTGCCTGGCTCATTGCAATCTGTAACGACAGTGATGCAGTTCAAGTTATAGCCCTTTGTAAGGTCTTCTGCGGCGGATCCCATGGCGTTTTAATACTTTAGTAACTGTTCTAGGATGGATAGGCCTCCCATGGCGTCCAGTAATCAGGTTGGGCACAATTCTCCTTTTCAGTAATTGTTACGCTAAAAGGGAATTCTCATTATATTTTTAAAATAATGCAAGAAATCTGTTTATCCAATAAAAAGTGCTTGAAAAATATTATATGAAGTGCTAAACTTTATTTAGCCAACCTCGCTGACAAAAATTTTCATGCTGCAGACGAAAGCATGATGAGATTTAATCGGACGACATCGTGAGTATTATTGCAACGGGTGTGAATATTTCCCTTAAATGTATGTTATTATTTGTTCAAAAACAAAAAAATTTCAGAGCTTGGCTTCATGGAAGTGAATCTTTTGTATATGCATTGGAATTTAAACTCACATGCAGCAGTAATCCGTGACTTTTACTTTAATTTTACCGGTTGATAACCTTACGTCGCGGGTTCGAATCCCACTGTGGAACAGGTCCTTCGGATGAGACTGTATAAACCGAGGTCCCGTGTCGTCGTAGGTGCTGGCACGAAAAAGATCCCTCACTGCTCAATGGCCCTGAGTGCCGAGCATAGGTCAAATTTGCAGCTCTCCACCGGCAAGTGGTGGCGTCTCCATATGACTGAAAAATTCTCGAGAGGAACGTTAAACAACAACCAAAAAAAAAAAAACGGTTGATAAATGATACGAAAAGTATGGAATCTTATAAGGGCATTCATTCTAAAACCATCGTTGTATGACTATCTTGTAAAATTTAATATTTCAGATAGTTATTTTCATCAATGCGAGAGGGGAAAATCCCGAATTTTCTCTTCATATTACATGTAACGGTATGTTCTGTGTATAACAAGATAACTCTAACTAGCAGATTCTAATGGTTGAAGATTAACATTTAACATGCGACCTAGACAACAACCAAATTTCACAATATTTTTATTATAAAGCCTGGAATTTTTATTTAATGCAGCACATTTGTAAAGTTATCAAGAAATCTATATCGTAGAAATATTTCATCACTCTTTTTCGGCTTTTTGCAGCAATAAATATTGTAGTTTTAAGTACATACATACTTAACAGACTATAAATATTTAGAGGATGTGAAAATTTTCTTGCAGTTAATCTTTTACTCAAAGCAAACACAAGAAAAGAGGGTAAACGAGTGAAAATTCCCGTATACAGTAATGTTTTTTTATTATTGAAAAGAGGATTTCCTTTTATCGTAACAATTACTGAAAAGGGGAATTGTGCCCAACATGATAATTTCCCTCGCCGTTGTAGCAGCGGCCGTATACCATTCTCGCAAATGACGTTTGCCGTATGTACGCTTGTTGACGTCGTGTTGTCACAAACGGTTGACCTGGTCTTGGACGATCATTTATTGATCCTGGCTGATGAAACCGATGCAGCAACCGGCTTTTTGTACAGGGACGAACATTAAAACGACTGCTACCTCCCGCTTACTAACGCCTGCTTGCAGCAAACCGATTGCTCGCTTTCGTATTTCATTATTTAAACGTGGCTAATTTCTTCTGTTAGTGGTGCCTATGCTATCACCAACAAAGTTGTTTTATAACGAAACAACGAAACTCTTTTTTTTTTATCGTTTCATGTGCTTTGAAAAGAGTCCTGAAAGTTTCGTGCAATACTACCCATATCGTGCTAAAAATGAACGCAGGTAAGTCATGTGATGGATTTGAAAAATTAACACAATGTTGGGTGAAGTTTGCAATAAAAGTTTTAAATATGTTTTGAAAAATGATTATAAGGAAAAAAACGTGCGTTGCGTTTTTCAAGTCCCGTCAGTATATGTAGGTGAGCTAAATCCTTACCGACTTCAATATAAAACGAGAAAGTAAATAAGATTTAAAACAGATTCGACTTTGTGCACTCTTTGAATCATTTGCTTCTTAAACCATAGTAAGAGAAATGTTTTTCATCACTTTTTTAATTATCTCATATTTATCATCAGTGGAAGCCCATTCCGTACTGACAGATAAAGTAATGGACAAGACAATTTTAAAATTTTTGTTGAATCAGGATATTTTAATGAAATTAATTCTTACCGGGAATACCGATGGCTCCCAGCAATCTCTTGCATTACATGAAGCTCTGGAAGAAAAAGAAATGGCAAATGAAACAAACACTCTGTTGAAAGAAATATTAAACCTTGTTATAAGCCTTAGAAATGAACAGTCCGAAAGCAGAGGTGTTTTTCAAAACGGCCTGGCAAAACTTAAAGAAACTGTTTTAATCCAGTCAGAAGAAACGAGAAAACTACGAGAAAGACTTGAGCTTACAGTTATCACGACTCCTTTGCCTGTGAGAGATATAAAAAACTCGAGTGAAGATTCAGGATCTGTTGGTAAGTAGACTTCAGAATATTCTTTGAAGAAAATAAAAATACATGTACTAATGTGTGTATTGAACATTTTATTGACAAAAAGTCAAAGGAATTAGAAACAAGTTCAGAATCTTAGTCTTCTTTATACTTGTTTATAACAAATAAATCAGTAATCCCGAACATTGACAATAAGCTTTCCTTAAAATTTGCATTTGATAAAAAAAATTATATAAATCTAGATTTTTTTTTAGATAACGTGCAAATTAGCTTAGAAAAGCTTTAATAACCTTGAAAAATTCGGCATTTTGTACATTAGAGACGGAATCATTCCGAATCAACCATCCATAGCATCAAAAGTACAGTGTAACGTACAGTTTTTTTTGATTGATAAATATTGTAAATATTGCGAAAGCAAGGTGACAATAAATCTCATTCCTCTGTCAGTCTGTCTCTCTGTCATAAAAACTTTAACCTTAACTTTAACATATTTTTTTAAATAGGAAAAGGACATTCATATTTCACATGTAGATCATCTATGACAAAATCTTTCCAAATATTTTGATTTTTGACCCCGTAACCTTGAAATTAGACCTACTTTTCAAAAAAATTAACATTAGTCATTGTTAGTGGTTACTTTTCAATTAGAAAAGACATGGCTTTCATATTTGACATGTGGAGGACCGGTGGTAAGACAAACTATGATTTTTTTTACATGTGACCATGACCTTGAATTCTTACATACTTTTCAAAAATATTAACATTGGTGATAACTTTTGAGTCGGAGAAGATTACAGTTTTCGTATTTGACATGTGCACTACCTGTTACAACGCCTTTTACTACGTTTTTTTTGGGGGGGGGGGAGGGGGGGGGGTGTCTCGTGACCTTAACCGTGAAGTTTAACCTACAGTACTTTTCATTTTTTTAAACAGTGTTCATATTTATTAAATGAGGAAATATGGGGCTTTCATATTTCATCATCATTTTTGATTCAATACCTTGACCTAGAGGTATGCCCTACTAGGGTACTTAATATGATAAGTTTTAACTTTGGCCGTAACTTTCGCTCTAAAAGAGAACAGGGCTTTTCATATTTTTTGATTTTTTTTTTTTTTTTTTTTTTTTTTACATGAGAATTACTTTTGAAAAGACCTTTTGGATTATATTATGTTATTTGATCTCAGGACCCGAACCTTGAGGTTTGTTTGATGTAGTTTAAGAAACTTCAATCTTGGCCATAACTTTATTAATTAATCTTTTTAATATGATTGACAGACAAGACATGACATACATTGTACATACAAGACACTTACAATATGCCATAAATACAACTGCATCACAACCACTAAGACAACGATATATTTGTTTTGCTTTGGTTTGTGTCTCATTTATCAAACATCTGGATTTCTTCGAATCAATACCCAGATTTAAAGAATATTTACAAAAATAATATCGAACATAAAATCTCATCCCTTGTACGTAGCTGCCATATATCGGTATCAATAGATGAATTAATATAAAATATTTTTTTTTACTGTATTGATATAGGAGAGATTCAACAGACACCTATTGCTTTCACGGCTCTCTTGAGTGGTAAAGACATTAAATACGACGCTGGTGACACAGTTATCTACAATTCTATAAAAGTCAACAAAGGGAATAATTATGACGGAAGCACTGGGATTTTTACAGCCCCGGCTGCCGGTGTTTATTTTTTCACCTGGAGCACCTTGACCTCACCAAGTGTAGGACTGAATACAGCAATTGTGAAAAACAAATCATCGGGTTACCTTGCATTCTGCTACTGTTCCGCGTTTCAAAACACATACACTATGTGTTCTCAATCAACAACCGTGGAATTGGTGCCCGGAGACAGGATATGGATTGTTGCATACGCAATGTCGGCACAGAAACTTCATGGAGGAGTTTGGCCTGCGTTTTCGGGATTTAAGTTGTAGACTATTTTTCACTATTTGAACGAAAACTCAAATAAATTTACATTTTTTTTAATTCACAATGTCAGATCTATTGTATATTGTGTTATCGGAAGTAGAATTCGAGTAAATTATGTGTAGCAAATTGTACTCCTGGCACGCCAGGTAAGAATGAAAGGAAAACCTTCGTGAAAAACTTTATCCCGATTTTAAAATATTGTCTGTAACTTAACATATGGTATGATTGGGACTCTGACAAAGCTACATAATATCAATAAATTTGGTGTTAGTGTGATTGTTGAAACCTGACACCGTTTAAAATCACAGGTTATACTTATTTTAATATACTCAGAACATGACATCTTGCGTATTGCATTTTTCAACTGCGAATTTGTCCCAAAGTTGTGATCACTGTATTCTTAAGCTCAGAATCAGGAAATATAGAGAAATGAGCGCAGCATGAATATCTCGCCTTACCGAGTGTGGCATTCTGCGTAAGCATGTTTTTAAAAGTGCATTTGTATCTAAAAAAGAAGTAATCAATTGATAAAACCTTGAATTTGCATTTTTAATGTGATGAATCTGATTATGTTAGAGAATAGCTGCAGAACTGTAGCTTATGGTTTTATATTTTAGTCTTTGTCCATAACGCTACAGATTCCGTAATGCATATATTGTGCAATTTACGGCGCAAGATTTTCTGCGCACTTTGGGGATGTATTTCGCCACTTTCCAGCATTGGTCAATCAACGACTTTTCGTTGCAAGTTTGGTCAATACTTGTAAATTAAACTTGCTCCAAAAACTTTAACCTGCTCCAAAACCATCAACCTGGTTATTCTTTAGCTGAAATTGCGGCATCTGAAACCTTGACTCCTAGTACATGTATACTTGAAGCATCTCCCATGCATCTTTAACCTGGGAAACCAATGCCAAGGTTTATTGCATAAGCTCCCCCCAACTTTGAGGTGAGCTAAAAGTCTTCTCATCAACAACAAGGCCATGATTAGTGATATTAATAATGCAAGGATCCTTGGTGCAGAATCAAGTTTGTGCAAATGACGGTCCCCTGGTGTAGGGTGGAGCCACAATAGCAGATACATATTTTATACATTTGAATTTTTTAAAAATCTTCTTGTCAAGAACTGCAGGGACATGCTTAGTAATATGCACAATTTCTCAGGTAGTGAGGATTCAAGTTTGCTCAAAGTCATGGCCCCATGGGGTAGGATGGGGCTACAACTAATTAAGGGATAATATTTGAGATAAAAATTAAATTTTCTTGAGAACAACAGAGCAGTGATAGATATTATCCCTGTGTGGTTTATTCGAAACATGGCCCCATGGGAATATCTACTGGGAAAATCTAAAACTTAGAAATATATCCAGAGGACAAGAATGTCCCAATTAAGGTTCATTAATTATGCAACATGAAAAAAATACCCTCTTCTATGCTACATTAGGACGTACAAGTAGTAAGTTCAAGGTCACAAGGAAAGTTAAAGCAGAAAATTATGTCACAGTTAAATACTGCTTACATATTTGTAATAATTTAATGAAAAATATTTAATGTCAAAAGTCGAAGCAAATCAGATGATTCCCAAGTATATTTTAAAAATAGGTAATAAGATATTATAGAGCTAACCACAATGTTGTCTTTAAGGAGGAATGCCACACCAGAATTTTATTTAATAGGTCTTTAAGACATCCCTTTTAAACTATGGTTTCAACATTGAAAGACAGACATAGGCTCCTAATTATTTTATACGATTTTCTTTGTATTTTTTCAAAGAAGATGATAAAATTGTTTTATTTGCAAATAAGATGATTTATTGGTTAAAAATTGCTGTTAATAAATGCATAGAATGAATGCCTGATAAAATATGTAAAGAAAGGCAGGATAGACATTTTAATTTTTTAAATAAGTTTTTTTTTTTATGAAAATAAAACACATTATTTTTGAATATTTTTTAAACATATGGATATAATCCTCATAAAACTAGTCACAACTAGGGAGAACATTTTAGTCAATCACATTTTTTTAAAAAAAATTGAAAATGAAATTGCAAAATTTTAAGGAAAATAATTATTTTAATATTTGGACCAAGTCCCGATCAAAATTAAACTGATCTCGATCAAAATTAGCACAAAATAAATAATATAATAATTTATTTCCTTCTTTTTGTATTTACCACTAAGAAATCTATTTGATTGTCAAGTTCAAATACTTTTTAACCAATATTACACAAATTAAATTAAAATGTTTATCTGGCTTTTCTTTTACATATTTTATTAGATATTTATATTATGCATTATTAACAGCAAACTTTTACGCTAAAGCATCTTGTTTGCAAAAAAAACTTTTTTTTTCATTTTCTATGAGAAATTAGAAAAAAAAATTCTAAAATAATTAAGAGCTAATATCGGCCTTTCAATGCTGAAACCATAACTTAGCAGGGATGTCTTAAAGATCTATGAAATAAAATTTTGGTGAGGCATTCCTCCTTAATTAAGTGAGGCAAAGTCCCACACTAAACTAATAATCTAGTAGTTTGCATCCCTATAGATGCAACATTTATGCAATTTTGGTCTGATAGGGCTTGCACTTACTTGGGAATGGACTTGCCTAAAAACTTTAGTCACTCATCCAGAAAATGCAAGTCAATTTAAGCATCTGAAGCAAGTTTGAGAGTGTTCATTCCTTGATCCATCATACATGCAAGTTTAATAGTTTCTTGGCAATGGACCTGCTCGAAAAATTTTAACCTGGTCACTCATCTGAAAATTGTAGGCCAGATCCAGCATCCAAAGCAAGTCCAGTAGTGTGCATTCTTAGATGTATCATCCATGCAAGTTGGGTCAATGTAAGGCTTATAGTTACTTGGAAATGAGATCTGCTCCAAAAACATTAACC